AATTTATCAATACATTGTTTAATACGCAGATAGAATGTTTATTATGCAAAAATTGTGATTACTGTGTTTTTTTTTTCAAAATAAAAAATACCCCCGCCGCAGCAAACCTGCAGACTAAGCGAATTTCCATTTGCTTGATTAGATTTACACAAAAATGTCTCCTTTAAAATATCACATTTATTCCCTATTTAAAAAACATTAATTTAAAGAGTACTTAGGTTTGCTGCAAGAGGGAGGGTAAAAATGTTTTTTTTTGTAAAATTTTAATAGTTTAGAATGAAATGAATGCATTTTCCAAATTTGATCAAAATATGTTCATAAACAAACAAAGTACAACAGGTTACTTATTCTCCATAAGAATAACATGGGAATTTTAAATTTACAGTTTTTTGGAATTTTCTCCGTAACCATGAGGCGCATAATAACGCTTCAATATTCTAAATTATTTTTTTTTTAAGCTCTACAAAATGGTTTAGAAAGAAAATGTTAAATTTTAAGTTTTTAGAGTTAAAAATGGGAAAACCCAATTTTTACCCCATAAAACCCCCCATAAACACCTGTTCCCATAGTCCGATCATGCTGGTTCGCGAACTCGTTCAAATAAACGTAGGTTTACACGTTTTTACCAAATTTCATCAAAATCGGATGAGTTTTATTCGAGTTATCGCGCTAACGGACACATATATAAATGTATACATACAGATATATATATATATATATATATATATCTGTGTGTGTGTGTGTGTGTGTGAATTTGAACGGATGGTGTTTTTGGCCTGAAAAAGTAAATCGGTCCCGGATCCAGGTCTTACCATTAGTACTACGGTAATAGCTTATTCCCTACATGGGAAATTCGCTAAAATGGACCTATTTGTTATTTTTTTTTCAACAACTGTTTTAATTTGCAACTACCTAAGAAATGCTATTAGTTTTGAAATGTCCATAATTGTAAAAGAAATATTCCAATGTATTTGTGTGTTTTTATATCAAAAAATAATTATTCTTTGTAGTGTAGCAAAAACTACGTTGAAAACACGAGTTAAAGTGGGTCATTAAAAATTCTCGACCATATTAAAAGTGCTTGATAAATCACTCACTTCAAACATGGCCTCAAAATGTAATGACTAACTTTCTACTCTTGATATGAAATATACTATTTAGTTACTACCATTCACCACTTTGCTAGATCATAAGCTTTACAATGACAAGTCAATCGTCAAAATCTGTTCAGTAGTACGGCTGAAATAGTAGTTTACACAACGATTGCGTAAAGACTATTAACGCGAGTTGCGTACACTACTTTACCTACGACCGTTTTTTAATTACTAAAAATCTGGTTTTTTATTACTAACAATCACTACTCATAACTTCCTAGAGAGGTTATGTTTTCGTTTATTGTCATTGTCACTGAAAGTGACGCAACGACTTATTGTATAATCAGCTGATTTCATGTAATTACGTGTTTGTAAAACTTTGTTAAATAATACGTTACTTTTTCAGGCAATAGGTTCTGCTAGCAGCATTCTTACCATAAATACTGTATCAGGTACAATTAGGGAAATATTGCATATATTTTTGGACAACTGGATAATATAGTGAAACAGTTAATTTACAGTTAGATCTCAGCATCGAATATGTGGTCCACAACGAGTTGGGTGAAAAAGTGGTTAAAAGGTTTTCAAAATAAACCAGAAGAACATTTTCATTTATCAATTTAACCTTATTTTGTTTCGTCCATTTAATTAATTGCTTGTATGTAATTTCATACATTTGTTTCGATTTTGGTGGCAAAAGATTAGCACAAACAGTTTGTGCTCTCATTTCTATCTCGTCAACATCACTTTCACTAACCGATATTTTAAAATCAACCTTCATTTAACTTCCACCAACTTAGGTTAAGAATACGCGAGTATCAACAGGAACAAGCCGGATCAACAATGAAAATTGTCAACTGATCAGCTGATTTTAGTTGACGTTCGAAGTATTGTACTTCTTTTCTCTCAATCCTTGAACCTCATTGGTCCGTAACCCTTGTTGATATGAGAAAAACTATGCTGATATGAAATGAAACTATACTGATATGAAAGTAAAAAGCTGTTAAGTGAAACTTTTCAATTCTAAGAACTAAACTGAAATGGATACTTTAAAAAAACGGTCGTAGGTAAAAGGGATGTTACAGAAAAATTTTTTGCTGCATTAAGTTAATATATAGAAGATAGAAGATTAAAGATAGGTTGAAGATAGATCGGAGTATATCTCATTTATGCCTGTTTCATCGTGGTTTTCACATATGTAATGGCTCACTTTCTACTTTCTTATGAAAAAGGCCTTTACTATTATCATTGGAACCAACTAATAATAAAATGGTCATTTGGGTGTTATCAATGTGTCAAGGATTTGTTGTAAACACTGATATAAATCAACATAAATGGTTATGATGAATGAATCATAATGTTTTTTCCCAACTTTATAGTATACATCAAACCTTTTTGACTTCTAGAAACCAACAAAAGTGAATAATACGTCATTGATTTTAACTGTCGTGATATTTTTATCTTGTTTGAGGTAGGTTAACTTAAATTTTTATTTCCTTATTGATGTGGCTGAAGTTGAGTTTTATTGCGATTCAAAGCGAGGCGTCCGTCATCTTGTTTAAAAAATGTAAACCGATTTAAATTCTCTTTCAAAAAACCGTGTCTGAAACAAAGATCACAATATTTACAAACAGACACTCTCTATCTGCACTAAGTAAATATTTCAGACCCATAGTGCTGATTTATTCATTTATACTGCGTTTCTTAATTTTCGTACTGACTATCTTACAATCATCCTTCTATTAAATCAAGCTAAACTATTTCTTACTTAATTTTGTATTTACACTCTAGATAGCCAAGTATTCATCGTAATTTTTGGTTCTGGTTTTGGGTTTGGTTTTTGGTAAATTTTGCGCATATTTTCCGCTAAGAACCGCTTCAAGCTAACGGCAAGTTTTAAATTATCAAAAATTTAGACACTTTTCTCAGGATGGAACCGATAACATTCCTGCTACTAGCACTATTATTAACTCATTTCAAACTAACTCACTTTATTACACTAATTGTTTATTAACTTCAAAAGACTAACTGTCTCTTTTAGTGTGCGTACGATGCTGCTAAACACAAGTAACACAGCTATTAGGAATCTTAGGATAATTTAGGGACAGGAAAATATTTTCATCTTAACATAAGACATTGAATGTTCCTCTGTGAAACTCCTAAACAACATGTGTTCACAAACTACTCTTCACAACGAAATGTCCACGTGTTTATTGAAAACATCCACTGAAGGCTGGGCGCTGGGCGTCCGGTAAAACAGTGGAAGTGGTGTTGATGTTTACCAGTTGTTATAATTAGCAGTTTATGTTAAAACAACGCCTGGCCTGGTGCGTGTTGGAGGGAATAGGTACACGGGAGTGACAAAACACGTCGCTTGGAGGGACAAAAATTAATAGAATTGTAATTTATATATTTTTCCAATGTTTGAAATTTAAAAGAGCTTTTAATATTATAGGAGCTTCCTTTTGTCAGGATATGATTTGTATATTTTCTTTGTGTTGCTAGGCTATTTTATCGTCTCAAACTTTGAGGGAAGTCTCGTTAAAAGACGGGTGGGTTTTCCCCTAGTTTTATCCATATTATTTTAGGACTATACTTGCGTTTGTTGACCTAGCGTCATGAAGGGTACGAGAGGGTAGAATTCAAACTCAAATACCCATACAACATGAGGGGTTCAGATTCCCCTCAAAAGCGATTAGTTTTCTATATATTAGAACATTACGACAGTTTCAACAAAGAAAATAAAAACTTCTTTCAGTTTTTGAATAATGTATTAATATGTCGTATTTGCTGCTGGGGGAATAATATAGGCTATAATGTGTCATGTATTATTAGTTAATTATTGTTCATTAATTAATTTATTAAATAACCTTTAGCTTTTAGTGAGGATAGCTCTACAATAAAAAAAAATAAGTAAAACGTTAGAATTACGAACTTGTAAGCAACGCTGTATCCATAAAATATACACAGCCTGATGCATTTTGGGGATGAGTTTTTTTCCAAAGTCATTGATTTAATTCCGAAATATTGTACTTTTTTAATGAAGTAGGCCCTACAGTAAAACATTCTGCCACCCCCATAAAATATTATTGTGAAATAATACGCAGTATCACCATGCCAGGAGCTAGTTTGTTTAAAAGTATGTTATCTACTGTATATTAAAATAATCTCGTAGCTATCAGTGAAGCAATATCTACAATTCAGAGAAAGTTCTTTTTGTCATTTATTATTGTTTTTAAATAGGTACACACACTTAGTGTGGACTTGACTACTTATTTTATAGCTAAACGCCATTAGAAATCAACATGATTGAAACCAGAGCATTGAGCACAGAAGTCCTGTGTCCTGTGGTCTAACAATATATCAGCTGTGTCATAGGGTTAACAGGTTAGGAAATCATAATTTGTCCTGACGTCACTGGGATGAAACACGAAACTTAATCCATATTCCAGCATCTTGGGACTTGGAGCACTTCCAAACTTGTCAAAAGTTAACCAGAAAAGGTTTTAAAATATATAGGCCTAATCTTGAAAAAATTCAACGTAATGAAAGTAGTTATTTTAGCGCTAAACAATGTGTTTTATACAAGACAATACAACATTTTTTTAAACATTGTAGTTTCTTATACGATTTTACTACGGTAGTTTTATTAATTTTAGAAACGTTTTAAATCTTTTCATTTGAATCTCGCGAAATCCATCACGTCTACTTAAAACGAGGTGGGTCATGTCTACCAAATCTAGAATGCTTTCAAAGTTACACTTTCATCGTATCTCAAAGAACTTTTGTATTGGAATATCGATGATGAATCTGATAATAATATGTGTAAGGTTATTTAAAAATCCAAGTTTTAAAATTATATTTAGCCTGTTACTATTTAAAAATAACAATTACTTTTCTTCTTACCATATACATATTCTGCGATCTGTCTGATGAATACGAGTTCTTCTGCTTCTTCCCTCCTTTACGCTTGCCTTTCCGCACTTTCTTCGGTTTCTTATTGCGACTCTCACCATTGAAAATATCTATTCTGGAGGTCAAAAACGATTCTGGAGAGGAAACCGGAATCAAATCTTCATTCTCGTCTGGAAGTTTGTTATCAATGATGGATCTAGTCTTCCTGATGATTTCGTTCTCCGACATATCTTCCCTCTGATCCAAAGTAGAGTGAGTTTCATTTACAGTTGGAGGAGTTGTCAAACTGTTCGATAAAGTAACATTCCTGGTAAACATCCTTCTTTTAAAGTTAGGAATTATATCGGGGTTATTGTCTGAGTCGTCTATGAACACTCGTTCCAGACCTCCCGTCTGCAGACGTTGCACCAAGGCGTGAGTGTGTACCGGAGGCTTAGGTGGAGGTCTTCCCCCGTCCTCCGTGACCTCCTCTTCGCCGTCCTCTGAAAAGACCACGAGGAAAGCGTGAGAGTCGGGGAACCCACGAAGGAAATGAGAAGGAGGAATGACTTTGCCCGAGGGAGACTCGAAACGCACGGCTAAGGAGTAACCATAAACTTCGCCCCTCGGGTCTAGCAGGAGCTCTCTGAGTGGAGCAGTGATATCCACGGATGTCCAAACGCTCCTCTGGACCATGGAGACCGGCACAGAGCCTAGAGGAGTCAGCTTGCCTCCAGGAGATGCTCGGAATAGCCTGATCCTGTAAGGTGGAGCCAACAATCTCCTGTGTCTGTGACGTTGGTGTAGTTTTCTTCTGTTAAGTTGCAGCTGAGCTAGTCTCACCTCCTCTTCGGTGTTCACACTACTTATGTTGAACACCACGGTGTCCTTCCCTCCTGCAACAAATTTTGGAAAATAATTAGTAAACAAAATACTTTAAATTCTCAAAACACATTTCATTAAGTATCTTATCTTATCTTACTAATATTATAAATGTGAAAGTTTGTGTGTTTGTTTGAAGTTCAATCACGCATTAACTACTGGACAGATTGGGCAGAAATTTGGCATGATGATAGCTCACATTCCCGATTAACATATAGGCATATTCTTATCTCAAAAATCCTTTAGGGCTCCGCCCCAGTGGCTCTGTAGTTCCCCATGTTAACCTTATGAGTATTCATATTTAAATGGAATTAAATAATTTAGTCAGCTGTTTCAACTACAAAAGTTGGTTCTATGATATGCAAAAGCATTAAAAAGTTATAAGATTTACCAACAGAGTGCAGCACTATTTTTTTGCATTTATGAAAACAGCTAATTTGAACTAAGCAACAACAAAAAACTGTGATACAAAATGAGAACTGCCAAAGTAGGATTGTTTTTTTAATTTCATAAATAATTTGTGATATTTTGTGAATTTTTATAATTGAGCGGAGCGAGCGAAGCTCTTATACGTCGACTTTTATGCATTTCGTAATACGCAAACTCCTCCTAGACGGCTGAATCAATTGTTTTCAAATTTTTCATGGTGATAAAGACCATATCGGTGAGTGCCAACATCTATATGGCGTTAAAAAAGTCTCTCAGGAATCCGCAGAAAAATGAAACTGAAAATCACATTTTCTTAACATTAGTCTTATGGGTTGCTAGGTAACCATGTTGGCTGAATTAAATAACAAGTAAAAAGTAAACAAAAGATTTGAAGTTTTAGCATGTGTTCATAATAAGCCAACTACCCACAGTATACTAGGAAATTACAAATACAGTACAAAAGGAAAAACATCACTTGTTAATATTGAGCAAAGATTATACTTAAGATTACTCGATACATTGTAGTCAAGGGTAGCAGTGCGAAGTCTAGGATCTGTTTATGACGAATACATTAAGGTATCTGCAATCCTAAAATGCTATGGGAAGGGAAGGAAACAGGTCCGTGACGTAGGAAGTAGTGAAGGAAGTAGTAAAGGCAATCATAAAATGCTATGGGAATAGAGGGAAACAGGTCCGTGACGTAGGAAGTGATATGAAGGAAGTAGTGAATGCGAGCAGTCCGGAGTGTGGGGACTGTTTATGACGATTAGATTAGGGTATCTGCAATCCTAAAATGCTATGGGAAGGGAGGAAAACAGGTCCGCGACGTAGGAAGTGGTGAAGGAAGTAGTCAAGGCGAGTAGTCCGGAGTGCGGGAACTGTTTATGACGATTAGATTAAGGTATATGCAATCTTTAAGTGCAATGGGAAGGGAGGGAAACAGGTCCGCGACGTAGGAAGTGGTGAAGGAAGTAGTCAAGGCGAGCTGTCCGGAGTGTTGGAACTATTATGACGATTAGATAAGGGTATGGGCAATCAAAAATGCTATGGGAAAGGGAGGGAAACAGGCCCGTGACGTAGGAAGTGGTGAAGGAAGTAGTCAAAGCGAGCTGTCCGGAGTGTGGGAACTGTTTATGACGATAAGATAAGGGTATGGGCAATCCTAAAATGCTATGGGAAGGGAGGGAAAGAGGTCCGCGACGTAAGAAGTGGTGAAGGAAGTAGTCAAGGCGAGCTGTCAGGAGAGAGGGAACTGTTTATGGCGATTAGATAAGGGTATGGGCAATCCTAAAATGCTATGGGAAGGGAGGGAAACAGGTCCGTGACGTAAGAAGTGGTGAAGGAAGTAGTCAAGGCGAGCTGTCTGGAGCGTGGGAACTGTTTATGATGATTAGATTAAGGTATTTGCAATCCTAAAATGCTATGGAAAGGGAGAAAAATAGGTCCGCGACGTAGGAAGTGAAGGAAGTAGTCTAGGCGAGTTGTCCGGAGTGTTGGAAATGTTTATGACAATTAGATTAAGGTATCAGCAAACCTAAAATGCTACGGGAAGGGAGGAAAACAGGTCCGCGACGTAGGAAGTGATGAAGGAAGTAGTCAAGGTGAGCTGTCCGGAGTGTGGGAACTGTTTATGACGATTAGATAAAGGTATTTGCAATCCTAAAATGCTATGGGAAGGGAGGGAAACAGGTCCGCGACGTAGGAAGTGGTGAAGGAAGTAGTCAAGGCGAGTAGTCCGGAGTGTGGGAACTGTTTATGATGATTAGATTAAGGTACTGTATCTGCAATCTTTAAATGCAATGGAATGGAGGGAAACAGGTCCATGACGTAGGAAATTGTGTAGGATGTAGATGTGTGGATTTATGTATCTCCAATACTACGGTGCTTTCAGAGTGAACTAATGATTTTCCCCGAGCAAAGCTCGGTCCCCAGGTACTATAATCAAATGACGACACTAGCTTGAGGTTCGTGACGTATGAAGAGGTTAAGGAAGTAGTAGTGAACAGTCTGGAGTGTGGAAACTGTTTATGACGATTAGATTAGGGTATCTGCAATCCTAAAATGCTATGGGAAGGGAGGAAAACAGGTCCGCGACGTAGGAAGTGGTGAAGGAAGTAGTCAAGGCGAGTAGTCCGGAGTGCGGGAACTGTTTATGACGATTAGATTAAGGTATCTGCAATCTTTAAGTGCAATGGGAAGGGAAGGAAACAGGTCCGCGACGTAGGAAGTGGTGAAGGATGTAGTCAAGGCGAGCTGTCCGGAGTGTTGGAACTATTATGACGATTAGATAAGGGTATGGGCAATCAAAAATGCTATGGGAAAGGGTGGGAAACAGGCCCGTGACGTAGGAAGTGGTGAAGGAAGTAGTCAAAGCGAGCTGTCCGGAGTGTGGGAACTGTTTATGACGATAAGATAAGGGTATCTGCAATCCTAAAATGCTATGGGAAGGGAGGGAAAGAGGTCCGCGACGTAAGAAGTGGTGAAGGAAGTAGTAAAGGCGAGCTGTTTGGAGTGTGGGATCTGTTTATGACGATTAGATTCAGGTATCTGCAATCTTAAAATGCTATGGGAAGAGAGGGAAACAGATCCGCGACGTAGGAACAGGTGAAGGAAGTAGTAAGGCTAACAGCGCAGAGTGTGGGAACTGTCTTTGGCAATTACATTAATGTATCTGCAATGCTAAAATGCTACGGGAAGAGACTGTAGACTGTAATATGTTAAAAATGATTACGAAGCACAAATCAATACATATTTTCGATACATGAAATCGTTTACAATCGAAATTTACAACTGAGTTGACAACAGCTGATTTTTACTCCATAGAGGCTAAAAACGATTTTTACTCCCTAAATATTAAAAATGCTACTTTAGACCCGCAGCGCATGCATGAAAAAATACTGTTTTTACTGCAGTAAGACAAAAACAATATAATATGAACCCTTGATGACTCCGCTCAATTTTGTGGATGCCTCTGCGAACGCCACCTAGTTTATTTTTCCTATTGTTGGTAGATGTGTAACACTGTAGTACTGTATACCGTACATTTAAAGAAGCAAATTTTATCAAACTGTGTCCTCCCTCATTGCAAACGCAAAGCCTAAGTATAAATGCAATAAGCATTTTGTACTTATATGCCAACCCCGTACAAAGGAAGGGTAATCTGCTAGTGGTATATACTTTCTCTATGTTTTCTTGACGTAGTTATCATTATATTTTACTAGTAAATATTTTGGATAAATTTATCAATGGATGGTGTTACAAAAAGATTAGTGTTTACTTGAGGTCGCACATCAATACTGCACATAAATATGGTGTTGACCATTATAACCTCTATGAACCTCAAACGAGCCGATTTATTGGTCATCCGGTGTAATAAACAAATATTCTTTACAACTTCGACTTCTTTCACTTTAACTATCATATGCAAGAACAATTAACTGTTGATAACTGAACGTGATATGAACTGCAGCATGAGAGTCAAATGAATAGGTTATATTAACTGTTGTCGCCTTACGGTCCAAGTTACATCCTTAGTGAGTTATGCACATTTGAACGCTTCTGTCATTATCATATTATATCATATCAACTACATAAGAATATTAAACATTGCCCACGTAATGCTACGTCAGGGAATGACCCTTTCATTTGTCAACCAACCGGTCTGGAAACACCCTAATAACGAGAGCCTAGCTTAGAGCTACCACGTTTTTATCAGTATTGCCACTGTGGTAGATCATTAGGTCTATGAGATTGGTGATTGTCAGACGATTTGCCGCAAATACTCATCATTGACTAACTTGACAACATTGAGTTCATAGTCGTTGTCTTAAAACGCAAAACTTAATCAAGAAGTGGAGAAGCTATTATGAATTGTATAGATTTTCCCTCTCTCATCTCACTAAGTCTTTCCGTCACGTTTCTCTTTACAATGCGAACGTTAAACATACGTTTTCCTTACCTACTTCAATCTTTTATAATCGCATACACACCTACCCTGACAAACGTGTTTCATCCGAATTTCAAGATAGCATCACCTAGCCCCCAAATCGTGCTCTATCTGGTTCCGATACGTCTCTATCTCAAGTAGCATCCGTTCGCAAAGAGGGTGGTTAGCGAATTTTGCGCACCTTCCTCGTTGCTCCAGTGAACTTCTGCGCAATACGTTATGTAAGTCTATCTTTGAACGAGCTTATAGCCTTACCCATTGACATAAAATAGTACATGAAAACTTCTCAATCTATTGCAACATCTGAAGTCTGTTTGTTGTTGTGTATTTCATGTCGGTAAAGTTTGAGTGTGGTAGTCAAGATTCAATGTGTCTTTCTTATCTTGTAGTCGATTCTACGAATAGGTACCAAATGAAAGGTGAATTGTCTGTCTGTAAATTTGCCCATTTTGCTTCGATTTCAGGTATTACTCGACTAAATATTATAAAAACGGAAATTAAAATCCCTATTGACAATTTAACATTTTAACCTCGAGTTCAGGTACAACCAATCGTATGCCTACTCCTACTACCCTCAGTCACTTCAGGACGTAAGGTATGATGGTCCCGCTGCTTTTAACATTCCTTCTGATGATAATT